GTAGGTCTTCTCACGACCTAAATGACCACCAAGTGGTGTATCATGAGCCTCATAAAGTATCTGATACTTAAGGTCCTCATCATGAGGCACCACAACACGAGGCTGGACCTGTACTATAGTACAACAGACCATCGGTCAGTGCATAACGATGTAATCTCGCACGATTACGTGGTGACAACTTCAACTTGGATTTTTCAAACTCTGCGCTACCCAGCGCCTGCAGAATTGCAACACATGCCTCATCACGTGCGTACGCCACACGGATACGATCCGTGACTGACGAACTCACAACAGTGATGTGAGCAAGCTTATAGCTAGGTCTACGCGATAACGCTTCGGCCAACACATTCTGTTTCCCGGATTATACTTCACCTCGAAGTTATACTCCGCGAAAACGGAGAGCCAACGGGCCATTATTTGCGAGAGATGAGGCCACTGTGGCGCTGTGCGTAACGACTCATGATCTGTATAGATCACAAACAGCTTGGATCTCAACACGTGTACCCTGAACTTAACAATTGCATACTTCATCGCAAGCCGCTCCTTATCATATATTGAAAAGTTCTTCTCTGCAGCTTTCAGCTGGAGAGATTTAAGTGCGATGACGCGGGTTTGCGACCTTCAGAGTCAACTTGCAAGAGTGTACTGCCAATGGCAAAGTCCAAAGCATCACACGCGACGCTAAAAGAACGATCAGGATCAGGTAGAGGCCAGTATTGGCGCCTGAAGGAGACTATACTAAATGGCTTCAAAAGCCTCGTGGTGCTCGGTGTTCCAACACCATTCCGCATCCTTTTAAGGAGATTAGACAATGACTCTAGCCACTTTCGCATAGTTGTGGCTATACTTATGCACATAACTTGCCAAACCGAACCTGTTACGGAGGTCTTTTTGGTTCCTCGGAACCGGCCAATTCACTATGGCCTTGACCTTGACAGGGTCCGCCCGGATTCCTCGCTTTTCAATGAAGCATCACAAAAAGGGAATCTATTCCGCCTCAAAGATGCATTTGTCAATATTGGCATTTAAATTACGCTCTCTCATGCAATCGAGCACAGCTCGCAGGTGTTCGATGTGATTCTCCACATCAGTCTTGCCATTTTCGGCTCGACTATGGACGAATATATCGTCAAAGTGTATCTGTGCATACGCCCTATGGGGCCGAAACAACTGCGTCACCAGACGATTGAACGTTGCAGGTGCGTTAGACAGCCCTTGGGACATCACTAACCACTCCCAGAGCATACCGCTCGGAGTGCTGACCGCTGTCAGTGGGATATCACTAGCTCGCATGAGCAACTGGCAATATCTATCGACTAAGTCGAGGGCACTGTACATTGTACATCCCACCATATTGTTCTGAAGAACATCCTTGCGAGAAATTGGTGTTTGCGCCGGGATAGTGGCTGCATTCACGCCTACTGTAAGCATGCACCATTCGCCACTTCCCATTAGGCTTCCTCACACAAAAAGGGCGTAGGATGAGGAGACTTACTCTCACGCACCATGCCAGCCGCGTGCTTCGCTCGAAAGAACTCGTCAATGACGTCACATTGCTCTCATGGCAGCGGCCACTGTCGCGTCACACAGTACATGGTTTCTGGAACCAAGTCAATTTCATGACGTACACCTCTATCCAAAGGTAACCTCGTAGGAGATTCTCTGGAGACAACATCTCCATATTCCTTCAGCAAGGGAATGTAAGGATCTGGGGGTTGTGATCCACTACGCGCATTCAGCGCCTTCTTGGTATCTTCAAAACTGCTTTGTCGAAAAGCTATGAGGTACTCAACTTCTCCCCAGGTGGACATCGATGTCTTGACAAGTCATCCGCCTGTCTTCGGATGCTGCCTTCACGGCGGTCGCATAAGGTAATTCGAACAGTAACGGAATTATTTCTACAAGGATACCCACAAGTTTGTGAAGAGTATCTAACGTGGTCTTAATACTGCAGAACCCCAAAGCAAACAAGTCTTCGGCTACAACCTTTCTGCGACCATGCGCGTCTATTGAACGAGGGTAATTAGCGCGGTGATCGCGTCTATCGCCGGTCGAATCTTGGTGAGGTAGTTCGACCGGCGTGCGATCACCGTTCAACTGAGCAGGCCCAGTAATCGGTACTAGAGGGTCTTGGTAACGGGGTCGCTATCCAAAACGCATTGAGCGTGAGCCGATAGTAAGCCATCGTCACGTCAGCGTTCATCCAGGTCAGCGGTCCTAAGATAGCGGGGCCTACCGAATTGGTATCACCTGCCCTAATCCTAAACTTGCTCGGCTTTGTACATGGCGATCTCATTTTACTTGTATTTTGGGTCGTTTTTGTTTCTCGGGGACTATAGTCTATCGGTTTGCACCTTTGACCGAAGATTCTCTGGGGCATGATCATGGCCCAAGGTGTCCTCGACGACGACATAGGGACGGTATTTCGGTTTCTGCTCAATAAGTTCAACCTTGGCCAAACCAACCGGACACCTCTTAAGGTCCGGTCGGTCCATCGATCCTTTGTTGTTTCCTTTTGTAGTCATTGAATATCGGTCTTCCAGTGACTCTTCGGTCTTTTGCTCAATCTTTGCTTAAACATATTCATCTTCTTTAAGCTCGCAATAATATCCCGCGTCTTCTTAAGATCTGGGCACGCGAATTATTGCTGAGGAGTGGGTTATCGAAGCTACGTGATGAGACCCAAAGCCACTCTCTGTGCTGGACTGTCGTTTGTCGGACAAAGAACTTCACTGCCGCATATATTCCTTCGTTCACCTTGTATACCCGTAGGATGGCGGGTTGCACTATTCAGAAGACTTGGTGAAGATGTGATGTCGGTCTTGAAAGAGGTAGACCTTAGGGTTCCTTGAGTGGATATACTTCACACCGTAGGCTAGTAGGAGGCCGAACCCACTTATAGCTTATATGACAAGATAAGATGTTACATCATATCACTCCCTGAGTATGAGTGGCCACAAGCAGAGAGGTCAAAACAATGGCATAAGTGGCATAGGTGACGAGTTAATGACCCTGGAGGGTCAGGTGAAGTCAAAAAATGATTGTTGTCTTTGGAGACAACGAAGTGCGAACACCTCATGACGAGGCATTGACTCAAGAGGGTGGGGGTGCGCCAGTAAATGAAGTGGTCTTTGACCTTGAGGTGTGTACACCTGTGACGCTGATACGTCGGTGCTGAGAGCTCATGAGTTGCGATGATGATATCGTGAGTGACGGTGATAGCGAACAGCTATATACCTCGTCAATGGTTTGACTGGGGATGTTGAAGCCGGTGGCTCTTTCAGCTATACCCGCAGTAAGATCTCTGTAAGAGCTGAACGAGTAGGTCTTTGCCAAGTTTGGCAGTGCCTTACAGGCAGGCAACATCGCCGAAGTGGTCGTTATACGACCCTCAAAAGTAAGGTCGGCCAATCCTCCATGGTCAATCGAGGTCTACCACAAACCACCTTGCCACAAGGTCCCCAGCTCTTTGCCGGGTCGCCGTCGTGAGGGTCGTCTCTGCTAGTCACGTGATTAGGATACCTCTGAGACCGACTGGAATGCCACTGCTTCAGGCCCCAGTAAAAGACGCGGAAGACGAGCAGCTAGTTCACGAAACAGCAACACTTGTACAGCTAATGGAGCTTCGAGCTTCTGACAGATCGTATTTCCAACCAATCAGAACAGAGCCAGGAATAGTACCAAACTTAACTACGTCAAGTGAAAAAGCTGCCCGAGGAGGAGCGCCTACCAACTTGGTGGGTATTTTGCAGCATAATTCAACGCAGCGATGGCAAAACTTTTACAAGAGGGCCACGTACCGCAATCACATAGTAATGGAAGTGCGTTTTGAGAGCTACAGTCGGCGCAAAGGTCGATGGACAATCCCAGCCCAAGTGCAGGTGTCAAGTTCCAAGACACTACGAAATACTATCTGGAGCTGGAATCGGTAGGCTCATGCGAACACGATCCAGATGACATGGATCTCTAACGAATTCTGGCGAGGATGGCCTAAAGGATTACAGAGACGTCTAGGAAGTTATGCCACCTTCTTGTCCCAGTGGACTATAGAGACTGTTTAGGGCAGAAAGGCAAATACCAAGAAAACGAAGCGCTGGCGGCCAGTATTACCCCTCGCAAAAGTGTGAGCTCGATTTAGTGGTGGAGTTGGTGCTCAAAACTGCGTAATAAGACCCCAGGCCACCACTGTGCCGGACTCAGACTTTTGGAGGGGTACCCCGATGCCGCGTATGGACCTTATCTTACATTGTGTACCCGTCGGCTGGCGGGTTGCACTATTCGGAGAACTTGGTTGAGATGTGATGTCGGCCTTGAGAGAGGTCGACCTTGGAGTGCCTCGAGTGGGTATGCTTCACTGTGTAGGCTAGTAGGTGGCCATTCGGTCGACTAGGTCGAGGGAGGGCTTATAATTAAATTTTTCAGGGAAGACACTCAAACCTGGCCTTTTGCTTTCTTGATGTCTCAGGGGTATTAACCGCCTAACCTTTACATGCTCCCGGATCATTAGGGTAGGAGACCGCTTCCGATAGCGGGTCGATTGGGAGTGCTACTCAGGCGAACCCATAAGCCAAATGTATCCTGGGGATCTATTTGCACTTGAGTCTTACCACACGACTGTCTTCGACGGGGGGCCAAAATATATCCCTTCCCGGAACAGGCGGGCAGAATTATATGAGTTCCTTGTGAGCACGACGGAGGCGTGCTACGTAGATCGCAAATTGAGTAGTATTTAATATAGTCCTATCTTTTAACTCCTTTACTCTCTCTTTACCATAAGGCCTGATTTTTGATTCTGATTGGCTATGGCAGCTTGACGTCGGGACCGAGGTTGACCGAGGCGACCGAAGCACCGAGGTCACTACTAAGGGACGAGGAAATAGGACCGAGGACAAGGGACCGAGGTCGACCGAACGCTGAGGTCACTACTAAAAGACAAGGAAATAGGACCGAGGACAAGGGACCGAGGTCAACCTTGATGGACAAGAGTCGATCTCTAGGGACTAGAGTCGAGGGTCCACCGACGAAGGACCAAGAAGCACCTTAAGGGACCGTCCTCGGTACTTCTCCGCCTCTGTTTCCATGAGATCGGCCTTCCGCAGTTCACCTCCGCTGTCTGAATTGTCCAAGATAAAGTCTTCGGAGCTCGATTGTTCCTGGACCGCTTTAACTGTTTGAACAGATTGGCGATTCATCTTCCTTTGTCGATCAGGGTGATTCGGTACTTTCTGGTGAAACTTGCTCGACCCCAACAACATCTCGCCTCGTCGTGCCTTCGTCCTTTGGCGCGACCTCAGCACATCCTCCAGATCTTCCACATTCGCCAGACGTAACACTGTCAGCTGGCTTGCCACTTCTGGGTTATCCGAGGTCTCAATATAATGCTCGGCATGATTTTTTGTCTTGCGCGGCCCGTCTTGGTTTAAATCTTTGCTTTATGTCCAATGACATTCGTACGATATAGGTAATTTAACGGGATTTGTCTGAACTCTATTTGCATGGGTAACATTAGCGGGCCAGGGGTACCCCAAACTACAGAACTGCATCTAGAATTACTGTAGTAGGTCCTTCCAATTTTTTCTCAAACTGAGCGACCCAATTGGCGGTACCAGTTCTAGACTGACCTGATTAACAGTCTTCCAAAAACGAGACGCTTTTATCCGCCTGTTACTTGGTCCCTCGTGAACGCGGTCTTCACAGTGATGACCCAGCCGCGTGCTCGGTCCTCATCTTGGTCTTTCCATGAAACTCCTTGAGGTCCGAGGTCGCTGAGAGCTTGATACGGGGGACAATGTTTGGCACCTTTCCCAGGGTGGCATTGGCCATCCTCGCCAGAGGTCCTTCTAGGCCCATGTCATCTGGATCATATTCGCATGTATCTACCAATTCGGGGGGGGGGGGGGGGGGGGGGGGGGGGGGGGGGGGGGGGGGGCGGGGGCGCCCCCCCCCCCGAAACCCCCCCGACCCAAGAGGGGGGGGGGAGGCGGGCCCGGGCCCGCCCCCCCCCCCCCGCGCCCCCCCCCCCCCCCCCCCCCCCAAAACCAGACGCCCCCAAAAGGAGACAACACCCCCCCCAGAAGGGGGGCGGTCCTTTCTTCTTTTTTTTTTTTTTTCTCCCTTCCCCCTCCCCCCCCCCCCCCCCCCCCCCTCTTCTTTTTTTTTTTTTTTTTTTTTTTTTTTTTTTTTTTTTTTTTTTTTTCAAAAAAAAAAAAAAAAAGGGAACCCCCCCCCCCCCCCCCCCCCCAGAGGAGAGGGGGGAGAGGAGAAAAAAAAAGAGGGGAGGGATTTGTAAACCCCCCCCAGGGAAGAAAAAAAAAAAGGGAAAAAAAAAAAGGGGGGTTTTGTGTGTTTTTAAATTTATTCCAACCCCTCATGAGTGATGAGGCGGATTTTGATTGTGGAGCCTTACTTCCAAATTTTTAGCGTAAGGGGACAAGAAAAAACGCTTCACAGTGACGGAAAGTCATGAGGATAATGGCAAACGCCGAGGCCTTTGAATGTTCGACCGAAGCCGATCATTGGTAGACCTCGAACATTCAAGGTCGACCATGGTCTATCATTGGTAAAACTCGGTCCTTTAAGGTGTAACCTAGAATAACATTGACAAAAGTCGGCCTATCCAGGTGGACCTGGTCTATCATCGGGAGACTTCAATCCCTCAAGGTGTCGAACGAAAGGATTCAATATCAAGTCCGAAGGTAGAAGAACAAATCCAAACATCACGAAAACAGAGAAAATGCATCGACAGAGAGGAAATGAGAACAAGTATATTAAAGTGGAGAGCCAAACAGGGTGAGGCGAACTTGCTCCGTATGCGCGGTACCGAGTGCGCAGGATGGGGCTCCAACGACAGCCGATACTGTGTGAGCCAGGGGTATGTGGAGTCGGAGATCTGAAGAGCTTCCAGCAACTACGCGGGATTCGACCCTTCCTCACAGCCTGGAAACCAGTACACCACGCAGCGAGGTTATGAAAGGTGTTTGAAGAAAGGATCAAGCAGGATGTCGAGGTCGCATCGACCTTCACTCATCCTTTTTAAGACTAAGTCAATGACACCTCGCCACGCTCGAGTCGCTCGACCGGGACGCTTCTTTCGTGCGCGCTTTCTCCCCCAAAATTGATAAGCAGTGAGTCGTTCTTCGAATCGCCTGGCTGTGGTCTCCGTCGAAACGCGTATACGCTTCTGCCAATTAAGTGAACCAGCATACCGGCTGTAAAGACACAGGTTAAATCGGGACTTGTGCCGACAATCAAGGTCTGGTAGCCAACAGCATCTTGAGGATAGCGGAGTTGACCAGTGAATATTTTTACTTGGAATGCCGATTGACCTTCCCGTCCGGTGGATCAAAGCAGTCCAAGGCAGCTCTGGGTAGTCGACCAAGTCACTATGAGTCATCATCGCAAAACTCCAGGAGTTGAACATGTCGACAGACCAAGGCGCCACTTTCGTGGCTAAAAAGAACTTCATTTGCATGAGCTTATGGATAACATTCATCTGCACTTAGTGCATAAGTACCGTTGCTACGGTAGCTGTCTGCTACACTTAGGAGCACCTGTAATCAGTATTGTACCTCCGTAGATTCTTACTGTATATGTTCACGTGTCCCCCTGCCACGATGTGAACCCATTGTATCTTAGGTACCGCTACACCAGAATGATGTTGCAGATGTGTACACCTTTTCGTAATCCATTACACGATTTGCTTAACTAGTGCAATGCAAAAACCATGTCTATCAGGGTACGCCACTTACAAGATGGTGAGTCCTAAAGTAGCGCTCTCTTCCATCTGGCTGATGCTGTTGAAGACTAGAATCAAGGCCAGCGAGCAGTCGCGATGGGCAGAACGACAGGCCTGATGAAACGGTGTCGGCACCTGTTTGCATGTTGCATAGGTTGGAAGAAGTTATTGGCTAGGATGGGTGAAGAAGGTCGGGTTTTGGATGAGTATGATGAGACTCGTTGAAGTGGTAATGGACGAGCAGTTAGGAGATAGCAACACAGTTTTGAGTTTTTCTTTGACCTCACAACGACCTGACCAATACAGGTCAATAGATGCAACTTACAATCTAGCGATGGTAGTACGATAAATCTTGCGCTTGCAAATTTGCTTTATTTGATCAATCACTTGAATATTCCAATCAAACAGCGAGTGCTATCAAAATTCTTAGTAATTTACTTTTATAAACCGGTATATTTCGTCAAACACAAAGATACTTTGCTGAAATTTTCCGATTCATCATGTTCTAAAACGATTTGTGGCATAAAAAAATCGCGTTTCTGTTAATTTACTAGACGTTTGTCGCATAAACGTTTGTTGACATATTCAGTGCGCTAGCCACAAACTTTCAAATTTGACCTTGATCCGTTTAAAAAGCTGACTAAACCCATTAGTATCATGAGCTCTCCACAACCAATTGAGTGCAAAGCTGCTGTGTGCTGGGCTGCTAATGAAGACAACGTGCTTGAAGATGTGATTGTGGGGCCGCCACGCTCCGGCGAGGTGCGCATTCAGATTGTGGCGACGGGCGTGTGCCACACGGACGAGTACACGCGCTCAGGTGCTGACCCAGAAGGTATCTTCCCCGTTATCATGGGCCACGAAGGTGCTGGTATTGTGGAGAGCGTGGGGCCTGATGTGACCACTGTCAAAGTAGGCGACCACGTGATACCGTGCTACATGCCGCAGTGCCGCAATTGCAAGTTTTGCAAGTCCACCAAGACGAATTTGTGTTCTATAATCCGCAACACACAGGGTAAGGGCCTCATGCCTGACGGTACATCGCGTTTCACGTGCAAGCGCAATGGCGAGACGCTGTTTCACTTTATGGGTACGTCCACATTCTCCGAGTACACAGTGCTGCCTGAGATCTCTGTGGCCAAGATCGACCCATCAGCTCCGATGGACAAGGTATGTTTGCTGGGCTGCGGCATCACTACCGGCTACGGTGCTGTGGTGAATACCATGAAGGTGGAGAAGGACTCGACCGTGGCCGTCTTCGGTCTGGGAGCGGTGGGTCTCGCTGTTATAATGGGAGCAAAGTCTATTGGCGCTCGTAAAATTATCGCTATTGATATTAATCCCAAGAAGTTTCCAATTGCGGAGGAGTTTGGAGCGACGCAATGCATAAACCCGACGGACTACCCTGATCGGCCGCTTCAAGAGGTGCTCATTGAGTTGACAGAGGAGGAAGGCTATGGTGGACTAGACTACACGTTTGAGTGCATCGGTCGTCCAGAGATCATGCGTGCTGCGTTGGAGTGCTGCCACAAGGGTTGGGGTCAGTCGTGCATTATCGGTGTTGCTGCATCTGGCGTGGAGCTGGCCACGCGTCCGTTTCAGCTCGTGACAGGACGGCGTTGGGCTGGTAGTGCTTTTGGCGGCTTCAAGAGTCGTGACGGGGTCCCCAATTTAGTAAACAAGTACCTGAAAAAGGAGATTAAAGTGGACGAGTTCATTACCCACAAGTTTGATCTGCCGCAGATCAATGATGCTTTCCATGCTATGCACCAGGGCGACGTAAGTATATGTTTGCGTGTGTCTTGTTGTCTGTAGATACTAATGCACATTTGTTGTGGCTTGCTCTTTTTGTGCTACTAGTGTATTCGCTCCATCGTGTACTTCCATGGTATTCCGCAAGAATAGGAATGGGTGACATGTAGTCGGCAAGTATTTGCGTCGCAATAGCACAGATAGGTTTGCGTTTAGTGAGATTAATGCAATGGTGTGAGGGCGTCTTCATCTAGCGTACTGACACAAGATGGCGCCAAAGAGCGCTGAGTTTCGTCATCTATTTGGGTCGATATGTTTATTTTTTTGATTCCAAATCAGGAAGAGCTACAGATTGTAATCTCTATACTCTAGCGTACTGTTTAAAACTTCTGTCCAGCTGATGATAAACCATTATTTGTGGATCTCAAATGATTTTTATGAAAAGCTTTTTTATCTCCTAAAAATTGGCTGGTTTCAGATCATCATAGAATTATGAGCTTATCAAATAATTGTCACTCCATATTGCATACCTTGTGAAAGTGTATGCATTTATGTAATAAGCTAAACTAAAACTAAAATTACTTGATTTTACAGACAACATTTCCCTATGAGATTTTATAATTTGATAGAATAAATCTCATCCTTGTGATTAGAGTTTGTGGAATCAACATCCTGTTGAGAGGCTACGAGCCCTTAAGAAAGATCTCGTTCCATTCCATTCTTCATTGTTCAATTTGCTTTGAGAAGAAGACAAACCAAGTATTTGATATATCTGATTTATCGTAAGACTTAAATATGAGCGTCAACGCACAAGCTGGAGACAAAGTGGTGCTAGCGTACAGCGGCGGCCTCGATACGTCCATTATCCTCAAGTGGCTCACGAACAAGGGCTTTGAGGTCATTTGCTACTGTGCCAATGTGGGTCAGCAGGGTGAGGACTATGAAAAGGTACGTGCCAAGGCCATGTCCTTAGGCGCTAAGAAGGTTTACATTGAGGACTTGCGTGAGGAGTTCGTCAAGCATTACATCTTTGAAGCCGTCAAGTCCAATGCCATCTACGAGTCACGTTACCTGTTGGGCACGTCACTTGCTCGCCCGGTGATCGCTAAGAAACAGGTGGAGATTGCCCAAGCCGAGGGTGCCAAGTATGTAGCTCACGGTGCCACAGGCAAAGGTAATGATCAGGTCCGCTTTGAGCTATGTGCTCAGGCTCTAGACGCCAAACTCAAGACCATCGCTCCATGGCGTGATGCCGAGTTTATCGAAAAGTTCAAGGGCCGTGCTGATCTAATCCAATATGCTAAGGAGCAGAATATTCCTATTGACGCTACCCCCAAGGCCCCCTACAGCGTGGATGAAAACCTGTACCATACGAGTTACGAGGCTGGTATGCTTGAGGATCCAATGACCGCTCCCATGGCCACAATGTTTAAGATGACGGTGGACCCCAAAGACGCCCCCCGACGCTGCTGAGCAGATTAGCATCCGTTTTGAGAAGGGTATTCCTGTAGGTGTGACAAACCTGACTGCCAAAACTCCTGAGATCACCAGTGCTTTGGATCTCTTCTTAGAGCTGAACAAGCTTGCTGGCAAGCACGGAGTTGGACGCATTGATATTGTTGAGAACCGTTTCGTCGGCATTAAGTCGCGAGGGTGCTACGAGACCCCAGGTGGCACTATTCTGCGCCATGCCCACCTTGACCTCGAGGGTCTGTGTATGGATCGTGAGGTCATGAAAGTGCGTGACTCTTTGTCAGCCAAGTTTGCAGAGTTTTGCTACAATGGCTTCTGGTTCGCTCCGGAGATGGACTTTGTGCGTAACGCCGTTGACTTCTCTCAGCAGAACGTAACGGGTTATGTCCATTTGGAGCTCTACAAGGGCAATGTCACGATCATTGGTCGCTACTCGGACGAGGCGCTGTACAGCGCTGACCTGGCCTCAATGGATCAAGAAGGCGGTGGTGACAATTTCGACTACCACCCAGCTGACGCGCAGGGTTTTATTCGCATCAATGCCACGCGTCTCAAGGCCTGGCGGTGTCGCCCCCAACCCAACAAGTAAACTCAGTTGATCATGGGTTTGCATAATAATATGACAACAATCGGGATCTACGCTAACAGCAGTAGGAAACACACGCACACCAAACACACAAAAATGCACTTGAATGTCACTTGATTGTTGTTTCTACGTTTGTGTAAATGGCTACATCTATTTTTAGTCCAACATAAATAAATTGTGCTGCTCAAATAGTCTTTTGCACCTTTTGGGAGCAAGTATGGGGAATGATGGTGGTGTCATTGCCGTGAAGCGCAAGTTCATGCGTCATGCAAACGTTAAGGTACGTGAGGAGAAGGCCAATCAGGAGGTACAGCGCTTGGAAAAGGCACGTACGTGTGCACTGTCTTCGCTGCCACTACAAGAGCCCGTGGTAGCGTGTCGCCTGGGTAACCTGTTCAATAAGCAGACAATTTTGGAGCATTTGCTGGCCAAATCGATGCCTGAGTGTTTTCAGTACATTACGTCACTCAAGGACGTGGTGACATGTCAGGTGAAGGTTGATAAAGAAGAGGACGCGCTTTGGCGCTGCCCCATCACGATGGTCGAGTTTAACGGCAAGCAGCCCTTTGTGGTGCTATTTAAGTGCGGCTGCGTGCTGTCCGAGCGTGCTTTTAAGGCTGTCAACACGTCGGAGTGTTTGGTTTGTGGCAAGACTTTTGAAGATCAGGATGTAGTGACGCTGCTGATGGAGGACGAACAATACGAAAAGCAGAAGAAGCTGTTGGAGCAAAAGACGGTGGAGAAACGAGGCAAAAAGAACAAGAAGAAAGTGAAGCAGATGAAAGAAGCAGGAAAGGAGAAGGACACGCACGAACACAAGAAAAACAAGAGGAGCAAGAGGAAAGCAGATCAGTTGGGTGAATCAGGTGACACAAAGCTGACCAAGATTGCGAGAGATGCTAGTGAATCCATTTTGAAGGCCAAGGAGAAGAGTCAAGTGTTTGCATCAATTTTTTCAAAGAACAAGAAGGAGAAAAGGAGTGCGAATGATTTGCTCATGACGATTGGTGGCATGCGCTACACGTTATCGTAGATTGTAGACGAGAGAACTAAGTAAACTTAAATTGATAAGGCTGTACGTGTCGTAGAAGTCTTTACTCAGCATGATGATGCACTCATCATGAATCATGTGCACACAAACTCAACTGTTTGACCAAACTTTTGCAGACCCATCGATGCAGCCTGTGGCAAACATGCTGGTCTCAGGATGGCACGCAAAAGCTCGCACTGGTTTCTTGTGTGCAACAAATGAGTGCATTTGTTTGGCATCAACGAGGTCCCACCAGTAAACTTTGCCGTCCTCGGAACCGCTGAGCACAAAGGCGCCGTCGCTAGAAAAGTTGCACTCAATCTTGTAATCTTCGACACTATGTCCACGATAGCTGTCAAGCACAAGAAAGAATGTAAGAAGTGTATTGTAATGGTTGAATGCATCCGCTCTTACCTCTTCACTTCGGTCCCGTTCTTTTTCTCGATGAGTCTGATAGAGCCGTCCAAACATCCAGCCAAGACAAAACGTGCGTCAGGAGAATTCGCGACTGACACGACGGGTTCTACAAAATGAAAACAATCCGATGCATACGCCCATAAACCATTATCTTGTCACTGCACTTCATATGCATATATACCATCGATATGCTCGCGAAAGAGCTGCCCGACTCGCAGGTCGTATGTCCGTACTGCGCCATCAACACACCTGGCAATGCAAGTAACTCCATTAGCTTAGGTCGCAGGATGCCTGTCAAAGACGTGCCTACCCCGCGATAATCTCGTGGTCAGTAATTACCATCGAGGTGACGCTGTCTCTAAAGTCATCCAAAACTTGAATCGGCATGTACGCATTTCGAGCTCTATTTTAGTACACCACACGATACGTCAGCAGAGTCAGCAGACGAAAATGACACCAACATGTGCCTTGCATGCAGCATGCGTATGTTTTAACCTGATATCCCAAGCTCGGACGGTTTTATCATAGGAACCACTGAGTAGCACGGATGAATCTGCATTGTAGCAAACACAATTCACGCTCTGCAACACGCACATGGCATCACGAAAGTCAACTTTTGTTTCAGTGGTCATCATCCTCAGCAACGTTCAGTACATGCTCATGTCCTTCAAACTTGCGAATCACTTGAGCAGTTGGCACGTCCCACATAAAGACGGCTCTGTCCCGACCACACGAAGCAAACTTGGAGTTGTCGTGAGCTCTGTCATAGCAACCAAACGTTAATACACATTCAAATCTACTGGAGAAACGTTTACTACAATCTGCCCTACATTGCGACGTCTCGTACATCGTATCCATGTCGTCCCTCGTACGTCTTCACCAGTAGCGCCTCATGAGGCTTTTCCACATCGTCCCTGTGTGGATTCCAAAGCTTTACGGTTTTGTCCTGACTGCAGGTCATGACGTATGTTCCTTTGGCTGCATGTACCAGCGAGTTGTGAGCATTCAAGGTGCATTGTTGATCTATAGTAACTATAAAAGACGAATCACAAGCTACAATTAAAGCGGATGGCATTGACAAGTCCTTGATGGCCATGAAACTCGCGCACGCAGACGGTTGGCACTCCCAACCTCGCTTCCGTCATGATGCTTGAAACCTAGACACTAGTTTGAGACATACTTCGTTCAAGATAAAAGCAGGACACTGAGATCGATGGCCTGATGTTGCATTTGTGTTTGATATATTAAGCCAATTTTCAAGGTGGTCTTTCAAACCAATGCAACATGTATAACATGCAAAGGGTGACATAAGTAACGTGTTTTCCCATCGTCACAGTGACACAAAGTGGTCATTGATATCAACCGACTTCTGCGACTGGGAGGACGGGATTGCGCGTCGTTGTTAATATTGCTACAGCCACGCATCTCCATGGCCACAATTGGCGTCTGCTACCGCCTTCTTCACTTTGTCAAAGTCCTACGGCGCCGTAGTCGCGCAGACCGGGGTCTTAAACAGGTCCCAAATATTGCCGTTGACAAAGTCGTTGTCCACGATACTCACGAGGAAGTATGTGTCGTGGATCTCGTGCAGCAGCTTGAACGATTGACTGCCTTCCTCGTAAAGCGATGCCCACAGCTTAAGCCACAACGCAAACGCCTCGTCTTTCCACACCAAAAAACTACTACTGTCTACGATCGTAGGTTGCAGGATCTCCTTGTTCGGAAAAACACCCCACGTCACGGCTACAGCTGACTTGCTGGCGTTCGAGTATGAGTGGCCGTTCAGGTTTACAGCATGATATTGCACTGAAGGCTTCTTGGCAGCATTATCAATAATTACCTTCATGTTCTCGGGTGACACAAAGCATTCTACGTACGCCTTTTGATATACACGGCCACCAGGTCCTCCCCAGCCAAACATCGGGTCATCGGACAACACACCGTTCACGCGTGGCTGGCTATTGATTGTTAAGAATCCGGCGGAATTGACAGCGGCGAGTTCCTGTTGGACGGTTGACGTCTCAGCGTGCAGTGCAGCATCACACCATGGTAGACTTGATATTTCGCCACGTACGTACTGTACGAACGTGCGGCGAATGTCTTCCTTCGTGGCAGGTGCGTTACCCCACATCGCGCGGCGCTCGATTGGTGTCCACATATTAGATGGTGCAAAGTGTGACTCCGTGAGCTCTCCAAACGCAGGGCTTTCACTATTGCCCCAGCGTCCGTTTGGATATTCATCCCACATGGCCGTGCGGTGAACATAACTCTTAGGTCGGTTGGACCAGTAGATCGGACGTACACTCTCGGACGCACGCTTTGACAGCGCTGACGTCTGCCAGGGTAATTCACGACGCGGGACACGGCTGGATAGCGACGATAGTCCTTCCAAGATACGACGCACAGATCGTTCCAGGTTGAGCGTATAGAAGTGCAGACCAGGCACGCCAGCATCAATCAACTGCTGGCTCATAGTTATGCCAAGCTGCACCCCATAGTCCTTAACGGCTTCATCATTGTCCTTAATGGGCTCCAATGCCTTGCGTATATCCTCAGGTACAAACGTCTTGCAAAACGACGTCATACGCTCAAAGCCACCGTAATTCTGAATAGGCATAATGCCTGGTATGATAGGCACTGTGATGCCAACGGCACGACACTCCTTTATAAATTCCAAAAACACTTGCACATCGTAGAAGAGCTGTGTAATCACAAAATCTGCTCCAGCATCTACCTTTTCTTTGAGATACTGAATATTGGCCTTCTTGTCCTCTTGGCTTTCAGCATGGCCCTCGGGGTATCCTGCAACGCCGATGCAGAAGTAATCGCCATAATTGTCACGGATATAGCGCACAAGATCCACACCATGAGAAAATCCACGGTTGCACTCATCAAAGCTGGCAGCGCCACGTGCAGGGTCTCCTCGCAGTGCCAGGATGTTCTGGATGCCAGCGTCCTTGGCCTGGCCCAGTGCCTTCTTGATGTCACTCTCCGCCATGTTGGTGCACGTCATATGCATAAGCATATCCATTCCACTAAGCTTCTGTGCGTTAGCACTGAGTTCCAGTGTGAGCTGCGCGCTTGAGCCACCAGCACCCCACGTCATATCACAAAAGAGCGGCTCAAGTGCCGCCATGCGGTCCATGCGCGCATACAGATTATCTACACCTGCAGGAGTCTTAGGTGGAAAGAACTCAAACGAGTAGAATACCTCCTGTTGCTCTACGCTCGCATTAATCTTTTCAATGATCTTCATCTAATGCAGCAGACTCAAATGTTCAGGGTAAATGAATCACCTTGAAGGATAATTTTACACTGCACATTTTATCATTGACTGGCTAATGGCTGGGAGCTGATTATCACCGGTATTACAGCAATAATAGTACAGTACCGGTATTTAAACCTGCAAGTTATGGGCGCACGACACGCATGGCTGCGGCGAGGACTCAGGCACTTGTTGGTGGGTATGAGTGGCGTATATGTATTGCATGTGGTCAGTCATTATCTGCAAAGGAATTTTCACATCATCAACTGCTTAAAATTGATTCGTACGTTGCTAAAACAAATGAGAAAAACTAGATGATAACATCAAAACTAACTTGTCTGTAGCAAATGTAAAGCATGTGTAGAGCGTTCTACGATGAAGGACAATGTACAGTTTAATCGACTCAAGTGCTGTGTACAGTGCTTTAAGAGCTTGCCAAAGACAAGCTACTCCAAACGACAGTCTCAACTGCTGGATGCCAAGTGCAGGATGTGTGTCCAAGAGCTCGAACGCGCCGCTACTGCTTCTCCAGCACACAGCGCAAGTAAGTTCCTTATTATAGCGTTTAGCTCGATGCATAAGGCTTGTCGTTGGATTGAACATGTGAATAATAGTTATTAGACAAGTGGGTGTTTGACCAGTATTATTGCGTGAGTCATCGCGGCAAGAACGGAGGTGTGTCAGTCCGCATGAAACACAACATTGCATCCCCTTTGCTTGGTTGTATCCCTTTGGGGCGCGTCTTCCGTGCCACAGCACCCATTTGCAATGAGCAAGGCGATCCAATGGTGAGACTTGAGGGACCATATCTTCCTACCGTCGTCGTGCGCGCTGAGGTGAAGATGACAAGCAAAGTGGAAGATAGAGTCGAGCGTCAGATTAAGGAGGCTTGGGTGCCCTTTCGATCGCTTCGCAATGAAGTTCTGCTGGAATGCCATCGAGGGCCATTTATATGCGATGGCGATGGCGATGGCAAGAATGAACGGCTCAAAAGCCGGTATTTTAGATGTGTAGTAGAAGGCTGTAAAGTACGCAAGCGTGCCGATCTAGCCATGTCAGAGCTTGGTTACGTACTCTATGGGGACGTGGTAGAAGTAGTAGAATCTACTGTAGCTTCGGACGGTTTTGTGTTTCTGCGGTTGCACGCCAGATATTTTGATGGCGCCGCGTGGGTCGTCGAACGCTCATTAGATAACGAGTCTGTGATGAACGAGGTTGAGGGTCCGTGGGTGTCATCATCATCTGCCCCCAGACGTGAAAAGTATCGATGCGTACAAGTTTCTGGAGCTCCTGTCCGTGTGGAGCCAGAATTGACGGCGCCGCCAGTGGGTCGTATTCTGTGTGGTGCCCTTGTCACTGTTGTGGAGCGTGCTGTAACAGATCAACGCCAGGTTTTTCTCCGAATTGTCGACTTGAACGCTTCTCTCACATGCAAAAATGATATTGAAAGCAATCGATGGGTTATTGAAACTAGCACATGCTGCTCCAGCGTCATGATCAAAGCCACCGTTTCGTGATAGTGGAAGGTTGGATATCAAAAGCAGCGATCAGTGCTCGCATGCGGGCTGCATGCGGCAAAAGTATTCAGTATAAAAGCTTTTTGCTGCGTGCCTTCTACATGTAGACCGCGTTTTCTTACAGCACGTATCCAGAGGTACCAGTTTTTGTGGGTTGCTTCAGACTTTGTAAAATAGGGAGAGCATGCAGCTGATTGGGTTCGAGCAGTGCCGACATACTGATACCGCCACGAGAATCGTTGATCACAACAACGGTCAATACCATGTAACTTTGTTAAGAGCACAACGATCAAAGAAGGCAGCAATGTCACCACCGAAGTTTAACAAAACCCGTCTCAGCTACGACTTGGAATACTTTCACCACCATATTATCCTTTCCTTTCGCATGTTGTATAGTTTGATGAAATGTGCTAGTCTACTTCTAAGTTTAGGGTCACTCTGTACTAATAACTACTAGGCAAGCAAAAGAACTTAATTGGCGTGCACGATCATAAGATTTGTTCTTACACGATATGACAATGGTCTCAAGTTAAAGTTATCCTTGACGTTTGACAGCCGCGACTCACTAAACAAGAAAGCCTAGAAATTGCAGAGTCAAGTCTCGATACAACAAATAGCTTCCATGCTTTTGAGGACGCAAGAAAAAATCATGTGCTTCTGTAGAGCAAAAGCCACCGAAAATGACTTTGGAGTAAAAAGCTGACTTTTTGCATTGTCAGATGCACATATACTGCGCAAGCATTCCAAAAACAACAGCTTGCAACGCTTTATTCATGCGAGTGGAGCGATCAAAATCCACGCCCAGATGTATTGTTTGTTCTTTGCTATGACTGTTTTTGCAAATATGACGGGTGGAGATTTCGACTGTACCTGTGTGACAAGATGGATGAGAATGCTCATGCATCATGCGAGCGATTTGGCTGAGATTTTACTTTAGTCCTGACATTCGCACAGCAACCGTTAGAATTGCAACAACCAAACGAGTGATGACATCGGATGACTAGGCTTTTTGTATTGGCAACGATGCCTCTCGTCAGTGAGTTAATCAATCTTTCAAGTGATATAGGCCAACAATACTTTCCCTCTCTACTGCCATACCCCTCGAAAAACAACACAAAAGCAAAGCATGTCCAAGCTTTAGCTATGCAGCTGCTAACAAAGTAATTGAAATGTTCCGCCCAGATTGTGTCGGCGTAGAAAGGTATGTGACATTCCATGGATATGCTTGCGTCAGATGACTGCGGTGACCAGCGGTAAAACGTATTCCAAAAGTTGAAATTCCAGCCAGATATAATTCATATATTACAGGTACGAGGATGAAACTGCGCTCAAACTTGGCCATTCCACAAGCATCGAATAAGCACGTTTCAGTTCAGGCAGTAAAACGGGCTTGCAATGGCCTATTCCATTTCCATCTCAGATACATGGTATAGCGTCCTGTCTGTACAATTCCCTGCTGCCAATAACTCGCCCCATCCCGCTCAGGTGCAACAACCTAGTTTGAAGCATCGGCCTGTCCGCCGAGGTATTAAATGTGATATAAATTCATATCAGCCTGGCCAGTAATAAAAAGATTGAAGTCTTCTTGTCACGTGTTTTTTGCATCAGTTGTTGCCTGCCACAAGTGAACTTGCCGTCGCTAGCAAATGACTAGAAGAGCCACGAAGATGGCGTAGCTCCGTTGTTGCCACGAAGATGTCGTAGCTCCGTTGTTGCCACAAATGAACTTGCCGTCAGCAGCCGATGATAAGACGAGCCACTAGGATGGATGTCATGGCTTGGAAAAAGGCTATGGATTAAAAGAAACGTGGCCCTGCAAGCTTTATCATAACAAGCTGACGCATTTCACATGGCGTTATTGTTTTCAATTGCTTTCGCAGATAAAAGTGAGCTGGACAGACATGAATTTGCTGGTACAAGTAATCTCATGCAATATTTCAATGGTATATTCAGCAACTATTACGATTGGACGCAAGTGAGGTTAAGCGTAGTCCGTACGTGTCACAGAAAAAATAATATGGTCATCGAATGAGCAGTGTTTAGGGCATATTTTGTGGCTTGAAATGGTGCACCGTGGCAGCAATTACTCTATGTACACAATCCAACAAGCCCAACCACACACTGCGTGCAGAGCACTAAGCCCGCTCATTCTTTCTGTGTATAGTGATGCTACTCGAACGCAATCCTCATCCTGCAGCTCCGCGTCGCAGCGTCAGCAATTCTGAGCATATTGCTAAGTCTCAGCATTTGAGCTTTTTTGGGCGCCAACTGGCTCGCTTCTTGCGTCGATCCTCTGCCGTGGCTGCTAAACAACCCAACGACGTGCTTGATCAGAGTGCACATGGCGCAACTTCGACAATGTCTCGGCATAACTCGATGTGTACAATGGATATTGGTGCCGTAGACCCGGCGATCTCGTTTAATTTCCACAAGCCCCAGCGTTTTGCCGTGAGCACTCGACTCGGTGCGAGACGGATCAACGAAGACCGTTTTCGAGCCATTGACAACTTGGATCTTTATGGTCGTGGGCTACTGGAGATGGCTCCATGCTTTGGAGATCTGCTCAAGGGTCGAGTGTTGGAAAATTTTGTCGTGGAAGGACAGACGCCAGCACTGAAAGCTCGCAGATTGCTGAAACATGTACAAGCGAGCGAGGACACGCAGTTTTTTGGCGTGTATGATGGGCATGGCGGAGCAAAAGCTTCATCGCTCTTGGCTCTGCTCTTTCCCGTGTATATTCTTGCTGCTCCAGAGTATATAAGCGACTTGCCGGCGGCGTGTCATTCGGCGAGTATGGCGATTAATGAAGAGATTTTGAAAAGAGAGCAGGACGGACACTGTGAAGGAGGAGCTACTGCTCTGACGCTGCTGATTCGTGGCAATATAGCTGTACTGAGTAACACTGGAGACTGTCGAGCTATCATAGTGACAAAGAGAGACAACGCAGCGGAAGTGACGCAGCTGACGACGGATCACAAGGCCTCAAACGATCAGGAGAAGCAACGGATTGAAGATACCGGTGGAATGGTGTTGTATGTCAGGGGTGTGGCCCGTGTAAATGGCCAGCTAGCTGTTGCGAGAGCATTTGGAGACTCAGAGCTGAGCGAACTTGTCATTGCCGACCCAGAGGTAACGGTACACGCGCTGCGTCAAGAAGACGAGTATATTGTCATCGCCTCGGATGGTTTATGGGATGTGCTTACCAACGAGCAGGTGGCTTCTTGTATCAGGTGAGACTAAGGTTTATTTTCATAGGCTGTTTTGATTGAGCAGCGAAAAAACAAGCCATTTGCCTAACTTTCTGTTTGTGCGTGCTATTTACCATGAGCAGGAACAACCCGTGGTTAAGTGTACAAGCCATGGCCCATATGCTTACGGACCGCGCTGTCGAGCTAGGCACGCTGGATAATGTGACAGTAATGGTGGTAGACGTGCGGGACAGAGCACCTTAAGACGCTCATGACGACGTTCCCGTCTTTTGCCGTCCTGTCCTGTTCATTCTACTGCGCTGATTTGAATACGCCGATCCCCGCCGATATGTTGTGTTCTTTTTTTGCGAGAAGAGGTGTTGTCCTGACGCCTAACGTCTTCAGACGCGAGCTCTGTATTGTAAAGGAGATTGGTTTTTGCACTTCTCGTCACCGATGTACATGTCCTTCATATTGCCGCCGACACGCTGAAACGATGGTCCGTTTCTTACAATTTACAGCACAAGACGCTCTTGCAGCATCAAAAAGGTAGCGGCCCGATTCAATTTGCAGCAGAGAATGCGGTGTTACAAAATGCAGCCATGAAACGCGTTCAACAGGACGAGAATTTGTGTGTGACTGAACGTGAAAAATTGGAAAGCGACATCGAAGATTCGATGCGGATGCTCAGTGAGCTGTCTGAGAAGCACAAGATAACGTCGGTAAGCGCTACAGACCTTGCTGTACCTGAGACTATGTCGCAGCTAGACCAAAGAGTATCAAACAACGAGAAACGGTTGAAGAAAGCATAGCCAGCAGTGGAGAACGTTCGAGTATCAGTGGAATAATGTCGTGTTGCATCCTATTGCATTACCTAGATGTCTTTTTTGAGTTGTTCAGGCAAACATTGTTCTTTCTTCGTATTGGCAGCAACATTTTGGTCAGTAGTTGAGTCTCGACATCAACCAACCATTTGGGTAGCGGCAATAAAATGTCTTTCGTCCATCATCTCTGCGATCAATCAAAGTCTTTGGCTTAACATATAAATATCATACATTGTAGCTGTTAGTGTCCGCAACAACCTGTTTCAACTTTTGGTCCTCAATCCTTCAGAAATCAGTATGTCACGCTTACAAAACCTCCTTCACTTGTCTGTATTGGCAATACATTTGTTTACGACCGTGAGCAAATGCGAGTTTTCCAGCGCAGCTGCTACGCGCTCCTTGTCGTTGAGTTGCTTATTGACCGCCGCTTCTGACGCATGCGTGCCCGGCGTGATGAGAATATCTACCTTGAAGCGCGTTGGCAGCGATCGTATCAGCTTTACACGAAGACATAGTCCAATTAATGTTGCCATACTGTACTCAAAACTATCGATTAGTACTTCGAGAAAAAATAAGTAAGGAATACGGCGATTTGGTAAGAACAAGTCCATACCTGCAGTGTGGGATAGTGGGTGTAAAGTAAATTTTGATGCGTGAGCTGGCGTCATCCACGTGAATGTTCTCGATTGAAATCACCTTGAGCTGCTCGAGCGTCAGCGGATGCTCCGGGTCGTTGACGTGTCGAAGCATTTCTAACACCCATTCATTTTGTCGTTAGAATACATATTGCCATGAATTAAATGGTCTGCTTGGACGTACCAAAGATCTCATCGGGATCGAACGGGTCCGTCGTGTCCTCATCCAAATACTCATCCACGTTATATTTCTTGTGCACTGGTGCAGTGACGGCGTACACTGTTGGGTTTGCATTAATCTTTTCCTGTAGACCCATGTTTTATATTGTTGTCAATGAATTAATTAAGTAGGTCAGAGAGTTATTGGTGGTCGAAACAATAATAATAAGAAGAAGAAAAGTAGATTTAAAACATGTTTTTGACACAAATTATATTATCTGGTTTATCGTTGATTTCGCTATTAATATCTTTTTGGGACCCCAAGATTAGTATCTCATGAACCAAAAAAGCCATGCATAGCTGTTTTAAAAACAAATATATGCGTCAAGGCTAAGGAATGACACAAAAATTGTAGACTTTACAGCCAATAAACTTTCTTATTTGCAATAAAGTGGTTGTCTAAAGGCTTATCCGACTACTTGCTAAATTGATTCAAGGTTGCAAGGTTAGTGAGCTGTAAAAGGTGGAGGTAATGATGCTTTGATGTAGTACCTAGTGCATCTATGGCAAAATAACAGCTGAAGACAGCACCAAATGCCTCGTAGAAAGCAAAGCTAATATGGCGTTCTAAAGGCTTTAATTACAATGTAAGGCGGTCGCTGCAAATGAAAGTGAAAATTTTCTCTTGGTTAACCGCTACATCTCTACCTTTAAACTCTTCTAGTCTTCAAATCTTCTCATAGATGACCACTATGAAATACTTCAAAAGACGTAAATAGCCGTTAACAGAATGCACAGTACTTAAGCAATAAGAAATCGTAATTATTAGTTTTGTTACTGGTTCCAAACCTACATTACCCTACGTTCATTATTACTTCAACCTGAGTAGTGTTGGTGTTTTCGCTACGTCAGTGTGGCTTCACCTTCTATCTATTCCGCTTCATCCTGCTTGCCATACGCCCCTCTTCAATTAGCTCCGTCATCATTGCTTCGCAAGTCTATTTACAGTCGTTTTGTGTGACTTCAACGCTTTTGGTTTCAAGTCTTCTTTGGATTGAGCAGCAGCTTGGAGAAATTCAATCGAACCTTTAGCTTTATAGTGACTGTCTTAAACATTTCAGGATCTTTATCCTTCGCCTCTTTGATCTATTTCATCGCTTCTTCCATAAATGATTTAGACAAATCTTTAATTATTTTTCTTCAACGTCTACTTCCAGTAGGGACAAGTCTTGACGAAGGAACCTTTTACCTTTCTGAGTGTTCCGGTAAACACCATCAGCTATGTCGTTTCTCAACAAGTCCGCGTGAGTTTCGGTCGTGATTGCTTTGCTCCTCGTAATGATGGCGGAGTTCAGCGAGCTGAAGGATCTGGTAAAAACTTTCATTGCCGACGGTTGTTGACGTACTCTTAGTTGTTGTTAAAAGCGCAATGACAATTGTAAAATGAAAGAAATTTGATATGATGTAAAAGCTGAACGCCTCACGATTTTATTCAAGACGTACCTAGCGACTGCTGCTTAGCTGATTCACTGCGATAAGGATTTGATCAGCCTTATCTAACCAAAATTCTTATACGGTATTCCGTATTTATCGGTATAGAACAGACTTGGATATTAGTATATGGACTGTATGTATTGCGTATATGTAAAAACGCTTTTACAAGTAAAAAAGGTAGACTCTTTTGTAACGGAGGTGTGTATTTTACATACACACCTACCACACGAATATGGTGTGGCTGTACCTTGGGTACAAGAGTAGGCCGATGGGACTGTACCTAAAGTACGTAGGGTCGCATCGTGGCAGAGCCACGTGGTCACTGTACTTAGTTAAATATAGTGACTATACATGTTAGCATAATAATAATAGGCTATAGAGCCAGTAAACAGTGACTAGCACTAAGTAGGTGCTTCTATATTTAGTGCTAGAAGATAAACATAAGTATAAATGTTTCAAACCTGCTCGGTAAGCATCACTGCTTGGGCGTTCTCTACCTTGAAAGACAAGAAGTTGTATCTTTGATGCTAGTGTCTTTGAGACCCGGTTGTGATAAACGATAGGCACAAGCTTACGAGCTAGACTTGGGATGGTTTAGAGCCCCAAGTCGTATAAGCTCTTGGATCTTGTCTTCCTCTTCACGTAGTGCATAAGAAGCTTTGCTACAGTAGCTCGTCTACATCCTCTGCGCATAATGCATAAGTAGCGTGGCTACAGTAGCTCTGCGCATAGTGCATAAGTAGCGTGGCTACAGTAGCTCGGCTACACCTGGTAGCACTTGTAGTCAATAGTGCACCTGGGTTTGCGACTACTTCTCTGTGTGAGAATGAACATCGAAGAGATGTCAGCGGTTGGCGGTCACAAGCCCAACAGAAAGGGTTGCAGAAGCTGCTTCCTATCCTTGGTCCTAAGGGCATGGAGTACCTCATCGACCAAGGCGAAGAAGAGGTTAACAAGCGTATTCATATGCTTGATGAATATAATAAAGCTAGTCGAGCACGTAAAGGCGCAGATGTCTTCTTCTGCGTCTTATTCCGTGGCGACTATGGCGCAAGAAGTGGTCCGCAGACCAAAACTCATACAAACGGAAGTCGATAAGCTCGACGGCAAAGAAGGTGACAACCTTATGCTTTGGTTTCGACAGGTTGAGTCGACTATTTTTATAGTCGACATCACCTATGAACTGTACCGTGTGGGCTTTGCCACGGGCAAGTTAAGTGGCTTAGCCAAGCAGTGGACATTCACATGCAGTGCATCACTGCAAGATACATTCCCAACATGAGCCGATCTGATAGCTCGCTCAGGTGACCCAGCAGTATGCACCGCCAAACCAACCACACCGTAATCGGTCGCGGTTTTTGGCATGTCGCCAAGGTAAGCGTGAGCTTGCGGCAAAATGTGCAAGAGTTGAGAATTGTTATTGCTGCCATGGTCGTAGACCCGATGCATGAGGCAGTGACCGTCACAGTCTTTATGGAAGGCCTCCGAGTTGGCCTTGCCAGAACGGAACTTTTCCGAGTAAACCCGTCCTCATTCGAGGAAGCTGTTGGAGTGGCATGGAATGCCGAGATCAACTTTAAGACCGCTGGGCCTGCCACTTATAATTACTCGTTTGATGGGTCTGTACTCATGGACTGTAGTCAAGTGGAGAATGAAGAAGCTGAGCTTTATGCTGCGGAGCAGCAAATTGCGCGCAGATGCTATATCTGCAAAAGCACAGGCCATTTGATGGCAAAATGCCCTGCAAGAAAGGCATATTTGGCCTCGAAGGGCCGACGCCCCTTGGTAAACCTTTTGGCTTTCCGCGGGGAAACGGCGAAACCTAGAAGGCGCGGGGCGCCCTACTGGAGAAGAACTGAGTTCTGTTGAACCTCTAGGAGGTAGATGTAAACAGGTCCCAGCCCCAAAGATATCCGAACTCTCAAAAAAGGAACAAAAATGCAAGCCAGGCTTGCTAGTCGTCTAAGGGGCGATCTTTTAGTTTGATAAGCCATGGATCATTTTGATCGATTCGGGGGCATCGACCATTATGTGCGCCGTGCCACCGTGGAAGGTAGTCAGCCGTATGCTGAAGCACTTAAAGCGCGTGAGAGTTACACAGTCACAGTTTTCTTAGCGACGGATACGCGTGTTACGGTACCCAAAGTCTCGATGGACTTAAATGTAAAGCTCTTGGACTTTAACAGCATGGGACACTGTCTGGTCTTAGACCTAGATGCGAGGTATGAGATCACTTAGGCATGGCATGGATAGAACATCATAAGCCATGGATTGATTGGAGGTTGAAGACCTTAGGCGCAACGCGCAATGCTCCTTGTGGGGCTCTAGAGAGCTATGAACCCACCTCTGCTAGGAAGCAAAAGCGCTTTTGGCGCGGATATTGGACCAAGTCGGTCAATATGTTGGATGTCGGAATATCCGACTTTGTAGACACTATAAATTTCGAGGGCAATAGTCCTGGGCGAGGCCCAATGACTGTCGATAGTGTGGTTGAGAACCCACTAGATGGCACATATGACATGTGTCATGAGAATGATGTTGCATCATTAAACACCGTGAGTGGTGTTGGTGGCTGCAAGCCAAGATGTCAGGACATGAGTCCACGTGACATGAGTGACGAGTAACCGACCCTGGAGGGTCGAGTAAAGTAATCAATGGATGTTATATTTGAGGATAACGAGGTGCATTCACCTAACGACGAGAGTACTGACCCTGGACGGTCGGGTGAAGTCACCAATGGATGTTGTTTTTGAGGACAGCGAGGTGCTAGCATCTAACGACGAGGTACTGGCCCAAGAGGTCGGATGAAGCCAAAGAATGACTGTTGTCTTTGAAGACAACGAGGTGCAAACACCTCATGACGAGGCATTGACCCAAGAGGGTGGGGTGCGCCAGTAAACGAAGTGGTCTTTGACCTTGAGGTGTGTACACCTGTGGACGCTGATGCGTCGGATGCTGAGAGCATCATGAGTAGCGTTGATGATATCGTGAGTGACGGTGATAGCGAACAGCTATATACACTCGTCAATGGTTTGACTGGGGATGTTGAAGAGCCGGTGGCTCTTTCAGCTATACCCGCAGTAAGATCTCTGTTACAGCTGAACGAGTAGGTCTTTGCCAAGTTTGGCAGTGCCTCAAAGGCAGGCAACATCGCCGAAGTGGTCGTTATACGACCCTCATAAGAGAAGTCTTCATTGCTTTTCGATAAAGCAGTTTTGAAGATACCAAGGAGGCGCTGAATGCGCGGAGTGGATCACAGATCTTTAAAGACCCTTCGGATCCTTACGTTCCCTTGCTGAAGGAATATGGAGATGTTGTCTCCAGAGAATCTCCTACGAGGTTACCTTTGGGTAGAGGTGTACGTCATGAAATTGACTTGGTTACAGAAACCATATACTGTGTGACGCGACAGTGGCCGCTGCCATGAGAGCAATGTGACGTCATTGACGAGTTCTTTCGTGCGAAGCACGCGGCTGGCATGGTGCGTGAGAGTAAGTCTCCTCATCCTACGCCCACGTTTTGTGTGAAGAAGTCTAATGGGAGGTGGCGAATTATGCATGCTTACAGTAAGCGTAATGCAGCCACTATCCCGGCGAAAACGCCAAATCCTCGCAAGGATGTTCTTCAGAACAATATGGTGGTATGTATAAGGTACAGTGCCCTA